AATCAAGTTATACTGTTAGAATTCAGATCGCTAATTGTGGGATGAGGGTGGTAACAATGATTGGGACTGGCCACATGGAAGCTTCTGGGCTGTGGGCAGTGATGTATTTACTTTGACCTGGTTGGGAGTTACATAGTTCATTTTGTGGGAACCAACCCACATTTGTTTTGTGCACCTTACTTTGTGTATGTGCTAAACTTACCAAAACAATTTTGAAACTAAATAGATTGGAGACCTGGGGACTAGGTTATCAGAGGGAAAAAAAAAAAAGACGATGAAATACCTAAAGTGAGTAGGATTCTTTGCTCCCTTTAGCTGCTCCTTTCTTCTTCTTTGAATAAAATTAGTAGACCAGGAAATATTTACAGTTTGCCCTCATCCCTGAGATACTGAAGTTGCCTCTTATGTGGAATGCACTGAGATGGGAACTGTGTGTTGGAGCTAGAAATTTACAAATGGGAATTGAGAAAAAATGGGATTAGAGGCAGATGAAATAGATGAAGATTCTAAATGAAAAACAGCTTTTCTAAGAGGAGAAAAGGAAAGATGTTCTTTAGTGAGAAAGTCAACACTATGAATTTTGAAGAGCTTTCCTAGGAAGGGAATGAAGGAAGAGGAGGATGAAGAGAAGGTAGCTGAGAAGGGAAAGAGGAAAGAAATAGGGGAGTGAAGTGGGTGGGGGAAAGGCCAAAGCAATGGAAAGATGAGAAGGAGGGAGCAAGGGGAGGAAAGGAATGGAGGGAGGAAAAAAGATGGACTAAAGAAAGGAAAAGACACAGCTGGACTCGATGGCTCAGCCTGTAATCCCGCACCTTTGGGAGGCTGAGGTGAGTGGATTGCCTGAGCCCGCGGGTTCGAGACCCGCCTGGGCAGCGAGACCTCATCTCTACAATAAAATCAAAAAATCAGCCGGGCATGGTAGCGCATGCCTGTAATTCCGGCTACTTGGAAGGCTGAGGCGGAAGGATCACCGGAGCCCAGCAGGTCGAGGCTGCGATGACCGGGCGTGGCCATTGCACTCCAATCTGGGCGACAGAGTGAGACTCCAACTCAAAAAACAAAAAAAAAAAACCAAAAAAACCAAAAAAACAAAAGAAAGGAAAAGACACAAGAAAGAAACACTACAGAAGAAAGAAGCATGATCCATACTGGGCACTTGGTATGAGCCAGACATTTCAACCACATGGTATCATTTAAACCTTGTGTCAACCTTCTAAGCTAGATATTATCTTTCTTACTTTTCAAACGAGGAAACTGATACTTTATTTTATTTGAGGAAACACACCTAGAAACATCAACACTAGCTACAGGTAACTCCAAATCCGGTCCTCTAGGAAACCACTTAAATCCAATAGGGAGGATTCCCTTATGGGAAGTCAATACTTATGCTACACGTGGGTCTTGAAAATAATTATCCCAGAGGGTGACTTTGCCCTAACAAGGAGAAAATGATTGGTTTTGTGAAAACTTAAAATCTATAATTCTGTAATTCTATCGTATTGGGTTAGTTATGTGGAATACTTACTAACATTGCTGACCTTCTCTAATTCTGCCTTAGCATTAGGGACCATTTTAAAAGAATCTGGTGTCTATTTTCTGTGGGGAAACCAGTAGAGCATTAGAAGTTCGGTTAAATTGGCAACACATCTCTATAGTATAAGAAAATGGGTGCGAAATGCATTCCATTGTCTAGTCCATAGTAATTGCCAGTTGACAGGAGTGCTGAAGATACTGCATTGGGTGGTATAGCAAATTCCAAGAGCGGAGATTAGTCACGAAATCCAGCCAGCATTTGGGAATGACCATTTTCGTTTAATTGGGGTAGAGACCGGATTGAGGGATGTTGTTACTCGACTGGTGGATCAGTAGTTCATCCTGTAAAGTTGGTCTGGGTACAACGCAGAGCCACCTGGGCGTAGGGATCCCAGGAAAGTGTGGAAACGAGTGGGAGCGCTCCTCGGACTGGAGTCTGGCGGGATGACTGGGAGAGGGACTGGTCACTGGGTGAAGAGGGTTGACCGAGCCGTGAAGGGAGGAGGGGGCACTGTCCTAAGGGGGTAACACAACCCCCGGCGGAGGGAGGGAGGGAGATGAGGCCTAGGGGGCCAGAGAAGAAACTGGGTGTAACCTGGAAGGAGGGATTGGGACCCGGTAGGATTCAGGGGCGATGTGGATCCAGGCGACCTCCGTAAGGGATGGACTGGGCGGGCAACACCGGTTTAAGGCGTATCATAGGGAATGGTTAAGCTGGTATGATGGAGGTGGGGGTGCAAGGAGCTCAGTCTTTGGAGCTGGACCCCGTGGTCTGCGAAGCTGTGTTCCTCTTCCTGATATCTGAGCAACCCAGTGCAAGTTCCAGCACCTCTCTAAGCCTCAGTTTCCTCATCTATACGCGGGAATAACAAACATGCACGCATAAGATCGCTGAGTTAGATGAGATGATGTGTACCATCATGCCTAGTGATATATTGGCATTCAGTGAACCGTCAATAAATTGATGTGGTTAGTATCAGGAAGGAAGGAAGGAAGGAAGGAAGGAAGGAAGGAAGGAAGGAAGGAAGGAAGGAAGGAAGGAAGGAAGGAAATTCCAAGAGCAAACGCAAGAAGTGACCTGGATTTCTTCAGGCTAACCAGAGAGGAGTACCAAACCATCAAAGAGCAAGAGACCAAACCTCACCCCCACCCCACTCTCCCAACAGAATAAAATTATCTCATTTTGACAAAATTCAATGTGCTGAGTAGTGGACTTTGTATGTATCTCTTTGGGGGTTAAGTCAGAGTACTTGCCAAAAAAAAAGTATTATTCATTAACACTTTCACTTAAGTTCAAAGTTATTTAGCACTTATTATGGGTCAAAAGAAAGGCTTGGGACATGGGAGAAGGAGGAGAGGGTAAAGGGAAAATTTACATGTATTAAGGACAGAGTAGGGAACATGTCAGACATTGCAAGGACACTTTATATAGCACAGCTCTAGATATCCACTATAATCCCAAAAAGGCATAAAAATTAAATCAAGCTAGCTCCAAGGAATAATTAGAAGTGAAAAACTGATAAAGAGAAAACAGTTCATATTCTTTCCATTGATTTTCTGTGCATAGTGAGTTAACTTGACGGTTGGTTGGAAGTCAGTTTGGCTACTTCTTATTTCTTTTTCAGCAGTTGGGTTCTCCTGTCAGTGTCTTTTATGCTGGAGTCATTCTTTGCTGTAATCACAGCTGTCAGCTATTGAATGAACTTGACACTCTGACTTCAGGAATGAGGAATTCACACCCATGCATATGCAGTTGGTTCTTTCATTAAAGCTGATTGACATATCAGACATGGTGCACTGATTTTTATAAGAAAAACAAATGGCTACACAAATAGAAATCTTCTTTATCAGAAAACACCCAGAGAGCCCAAGAATCAGTCTTTATTCAATTCAACCAGTATTACTGTAAAGATTGATATTCTTATTACTGCAAAATGGTAGCTATAGTCAATCAGTTAAGTTATCTGTACACACACACACACACACACACACACACACACACACACACACACACATCTGACTCAGACTCAGACTCCTCCTCCACAACTCTAAATGTCTTTCCCAAATCATCAGAACTGACTTTTTGAGAAGTATAATTTCTTGAAGGAAAAAAAGAGAGTACAGTGATCAGAATTGCCTATACTCCAATAGAAATTGAAGCAATAGAGCTTCTCAAAGTGTGTCTGATGATAGAGTCAGTTGAAATGGATTATCTAGTCCAAAACCACCAATGAGTTCAAAACTGTACCAGAGCATCCCTAACAAGGGCCCATTCAGAATCTAATTGACATTCCTAGCAATAGGTGTGCCTTGTTTAGTGTGAGACTACTTTTTGGAAATGGAAACACAAATGGAATCAGTATTATAGGAAGCCACTGTAGCATGGTCCCAGTGGAGATGTATTCCCAACTTACAATCTTGTAATCAATATTTGTGCTCTTCAAACCTCAGGAAGTCATAATATGACTAGCCATAAAAATTTTCCTGCTGCACTTCGTAAAGAGTGGTCTCTTCCTCCAAGGCTACAAGAGGTAAACTGACTTCTGACCACCCCTAATTGATCTTCAACACGTTTCCTCCATCAATTTTTGAAATACTCAAATGGAATTCTCTTCCGTGGTGATTTGTAGAAACTCCAGCACTACCATTTGCAATTTGTCGGTAACTCAGAACTGTTGACAAAAAGATTCCAAAAGGAAAGACTCAAACACGTTGAACAAAAATACAGAGAAGTAGCAACTCTGCAATTGAGTTGACAGCAGTAGGGGGTTACAATTAGGTGAGAACATAAAAATGCGAGAGGGCACTTTACCCATTTAGGTGTGAGTAGATACAAAAATTGTGTATGTGTGTGTTTCTTCAATATAAAAACTATTGGGAGTGGGAGAGGGCAAACGTTATCCGTGATGCACAGGGCCGTACTAAGGGACCTGTCGTCACAGGGAGTTGAGCCTATTACCAAATTCTTTTATTTATTTATTTTTTGAGTTGGCGTCTCACTCTGTTGCCCGGCCTATCACCAAATTCTTAAACAACACATCCATCCCCGGCTTATTTGCTCCAAAGCATGTATCACACGTGGATATTACTGCTTCGTCAGTGGCATTTCGTCTGCCTCCCCCGCTAGAACGTACCCAGGCCCAGAAGTGAGCCTGGCTCCTGCTGGGTGGTCAATAAGCAGCTCACTAATGACTGGCTGTCATATTAACGCGTACCTAAAGGGATGGAGGGATGGATGATAGTCGGATGGTTGGATGGACGGATGGACAAAGGCTTGTCAAGAGCCTAGCCCACTCCCCTCTTCCCCCCCCCCGCCCCCTCGCCCAGCCCTAGGCCAAGCCCAGGTGCGCACCTGCTACCCACTTCGCGCACCCTCGCCTACGGCGGCCGAAAGGCCTCAGGACCACGCAGGGCGGAAGCCCCGCCCCTGGCGTCTGCCCGACCAACGCGTGCGCATGCGCGAACGCGGCGCTTCCGGAAGGTTACTTCCTCCCTTGTCTCCTAGCAACGGCTGGAAGCGTTGTCGACATCCCAGGAGACTGTGGCCGCTAACTGAGCCCAGGCTTTCGCCCCCGGCGCGATGGTAAATCAGAGGTCTCGGTCCGTGCCCCGGCTCCCCAAGGGCACTGACCGGCAGGGTCTTTCACTACCCGGCTTCCGGGGCCTACCCAGACCCGGCGATTCCGGGGTCGCCGGTGGCTCCAGAAGCTTCCTGGAGGGGCGAGAGGAAGACCTTCGAAAGGGGGAGGATGTCTAGACGGGTGGAGGTGGTCTTGATGGTTGATTTCGGGGTGATACTTGGGGAGGGGTGATGCTGAAGAAGGGAAGAGTGTGAGGGGATGAAAGATGCTGAGAGGGATAAGAAATCCTGGGAGCCAGAAAAGTTTGCAGCGGTTGAGGTGCGAGATGGAGAGGAGGAAGAGATCCTGAGAGAGGAGGAAGACAAGAGTGCAAGGGAATCGAGAGGGGAGCTAGGGGAGATATTGAGAGAGGAGGGAAAATAAAGAGGAGAGCGAGGGAGGGGAGAGCCGTTGCCCCCCCTCCCCCCCAAAAATAAAAAAATAAAGCAGAGACAGGGGCATGAGTACTTACGAGCAAAGAGCTTCAGAGAGGAATGAAACGGGAATTTAAGAGAGTGTGTTGCCGGGCGTGGTAGCGCGTGCCTGTAATTCCGGCTACTCGGACGGCTGAGGCGGAAGGATCGCCGGAGCCCAGCAGGTCGAGACTGCGGTGGCCGGGAGCGGCCCCTGCCCTCCAGTCTGGGCGACAGAGTGAGACTCCGGCTCAAAAAAAAACAACAGCAAAAGAGAGTGTATTAGTACGGAAGACACAGAAATCATGTGAAGAGAAACAGCTGGGAAGAAAGAGGGACAGAAGGCCAGGAAGTGCAGAGGAAGAAGTTTGGAGAAAAGTGAAGACATCAAATAAGTAAACGAGGACAATGGTTGTAAGGTGGTCATAATCTTAAAGATTACGAAACATGCAGTAAATGATTGATCCCCTGTAAACTATTACGCTTCATTGCAGTGTTTCCCAGACTATATGAGTTGCTACATATGATGGCCCAGGAATGCCTAATAACAGAGTGAATCACTTCGGGAGACAGTTATCCTTGTTCATTTGGCTCAGCCTTCAGACTATATATAGGAGGAAGTTTCTGACACTGTTAGTTCCTTAGTACCATCACTATCATTTGATAATTTCCTTTTTTTTTTTTTTCACTTGAAGAGCAGACCTCAAGCTCAGCCCTCTCACTGCAGTAGAATTTAACAGTATGTTCTCTTTGTTTTGTTTGTTTTTACAGTTATTTCTATTTATGACAAATAATACCAAGTTTCTCTTTGTGGTAGTGATGTGTAGTTTCCTCTTAAAATGCATTTATTTAAGCTTTTAGCAGTCTGATCATTTAAAGAACATGCTAGCTAAATAATATAAATGGTATTCACGATAGCAAAAATCGTCAGTCTAGTACACAAATACCTGAAATTCGGAAAACACCTGCTTTGGAGGTGGAAAAGAGGAAATAAGTGTTCATGCCCACATTAGGTGCAAAAGAAAACTATCTTTTGACTAAAGTAACATAATGATCACCTGTGTTATATTGAGGAAAGAGAACACAACAAACCCTTATCAAGAAACTCTGCATAACTCTGTTTGAATTCCTAATATTCACTGATTGCTCAGTCATGAACAATATGCAGATTTAGAAAGCATTATTGTTTATTTCAGTGTGTCTAGAGGAGATGGAAACTGGACCAATACAGTCTATGCTTAAGATTCAAAAAGATCACTTTAAAGCACAATAATGGATTCCAAGTTGATCATTCTTGGTAGAATATTTAGCTTGCACTGAGACACAAGCTATAGTTATCAAGATAATCCTGGTTATGTTATTTTATAGAATTCTTTCTGTATATTTAACCATCTGAACTCTTAGGTAATGAAAATAAGATTTCTCATTAAGGACCACTTTTAGACAGAGGGAAGCCATGGCATAGCTCTGGAAATATTAAAGAACGGTAATATAGAAAAGAAATTTTTCATGTGAATGCAGCAAGATCAATGAGTAAAAGATGATCTGGGACAGATTTCTGTGCAATGTAAAGAATACTTTTCTAGCAAATGGAAACATAAAAATAGAGTGATCTCTTGGTAGTCAGTACGCTCTCTCTCTACAAGTGTTCAAGCTAACAGATTTGTCAGGATTGTATGCAGGGGGCATCTTATGTAGGTTTTTATGTGGGAATTGACAATTTGAAAGTTGTCTATCAAAAATATGAGGTTATATCACCCAGTATCTTAGGTTAAGAAGATAGGTTAGTGGGTATCTTTCTAAACATTATTCTTCTTAGATTTGGAGTCTCCACAAAGACGCTTTTGGGTAATTTCCTTCTGATCTCTTCCAGGCAGAGGTGGAGGAAACCCTAAAGAGAATCCAGAGCCATAAAGGGGTTATTGGCACTATGGTTGTAAATGCGGAAGGTAAATACATCACAGACTGTCTCCTTGGCATGCAGAAACCTGCCAGAAACCTGTTTGTTGTGTCAGTCCTTAAGATATACACCTTAGAATTTGAAATCAAATATATATTTGTATATTTTATACAAATATACATTTATATTTAATATACATTTATATTATAACATTTGCTTATCAAACATCTATTGACTATCTGTTCTATGCCAAGCGCTCTGCTAAGAGCTAGGGATATAAATATGAATAAGACATATTGAAAAAATGTTTATATATTTCTAAGAAATACTATACATTGTCTACTTTTTAAAACTTTGGTAATTCTCTTCCAAAATTTCATAAGTACCAATAAAATTATCATATTGAAAAGAAGGAGAATATCGTAGTTGGAAATTTGCTTTGTTTTAACATTTTAAGGGATACGGTGTTTTAGTCTTCATTTTAAATGGAATGTTTCCTTTACCATATATAATAAAAATATTTGAGAATTAATTTGGATATCATGTATAGGTTGTCTTTGTGGATATAGCATAAAAAATGCCAATACATTTCCAACTGTGAAATCTGTAAACTTGCCAGAAATCTACTCTTGCACAATCCTTGTTAAGAATCCACATAGCATTTTCTCTGGAACATTGTTCCATGCTCAGCTATGATGGGGAGTCCTCAAAGGTTCCTGCTGTTTTCACTGCTAACTTAGGCAGGGTTTTCACTGTTTTCACTGCTAACTTATAAGGGCGAGAGGGTACAGAAATTTCAGAGCATTTGTTCAAATAAGATATATTACTTCACATAATTTGTGGTATAGACATGGAACTGGCATATTACCAACTCAGTGTTTGGGCAAAATCCATCAGTTAATATTTATTGAGCAACAATTAACTGAAGATCTGTTTAAACCATGAGCTACAGTTTCTTGCCATTAATAATGGGCAATGTCCTACCTTACTAGTGGTTTTGATAATTAAATGACACAATAAGTGTTGAATGCCTGGCACAATGACCAACACTTAATAAAACTATAAATAAATTTGTTCTGAAAATTGGAAATTTTTAATTCATTTGTATAGGTAAAACATTTTATTTGTTTTATAAAATAAAAAATAACTCAATGCCAAATGAATGGAAATGTATTCTCTCTTAGTTATGAAGCTAGAAATTGACTTCAGGATGTCTCAGGGTCGTACCCTCCTTGAAGACTATAGGAGGGATCCTCTCTTCCCTCTTCCTAACTTCTGGTGGTTTTGTCAATCCCTGGTATTCCTTGGCTTATAGATGCATCATTCCAGTCTCTGCCTCTTGCATCACACGGCATTTTCTCTGTGCTTCTGTGCCTCTCTTATTTTTACATAAGAACTCCAGTTAGGGCCTACCCTCATCAAGTATGACCTCATATAAACTAATTACATCTATAAAGACTCTTTTTTTAAATAAGGTCACCGTCTGAGGTTTATGGTGGATTTGAATTTGGGGGCAGGACTGTTCAACCCTGTACAGATGCATTCACCTATAACATCCAGTACAACTCATCTACTGTGCTTCCTTGGAAAAGCTTAAAGTAGGATCCTGGAGCATACATCAAATGTCTGAAAAATACCCACCCCTTTGATCTAAAATTCCACTCCTCAGAGATGAGGTCCAGTGCCCAGAGCACCAATTACAGAGGAGATTCAGTCACTGGAACACTGATCACTGAGGAGGGCTAGGAATGTATCCTAAGGAGTAATGAAGAAAAGATTTAAGTACTAGGATACTCACTGGCTCATCATATACTAATATAATAGCAATGAATAAATAAGTAAACGTAAGTAAATCAATCTATCACAGCAGTAGGTGAATTTTAAAGTAACTGTAATATTTACTTGATGAAGAATACTCTACTTAAAATGTTAAGGAATGTTTAGTCTCACAGGAAACTAATCACAATATTAGATGAAAAATGCAGAGAAGAATACAGCATCTTCTAATCCTATATATAGCCAGGTGCACATATACACTTCAAATAAATATGGAAGAAAGGATCATCTCTGTGTTATAGTGATCATCTCTGAGTGGTGGGATGAAAAGTGATTTTCACTTTATTTTCCTGAGGTTTCTCAACTAACACTTATCTGAAAGCAACAAAATCTTATTTTCAACACTCATTCACCTCTATTTAACCATTTCTAGGTTAAGATTGTATTAGAATTCAGGGGTACTTTTTAAGATTTCTGGATACTTATTCAAGTTTTTACCTAAAAGCCAAATTAACCTTTTTCTCCAAGATATAAATGAGGGACTTAATTTTGTGGTCAGATTATTCACAACCAGAGTATATTGTAAGGATGTTTATTAATAGCATATGATATAAGTTGTGTGACCAGAATGTAATAAAATACCAATTTCAATAGCCTACTAAATTTTAGATGAAAGTTCATTTATTATGGTGCAGCTTTGCAACTTTGCAGCTTTGGGAAGTCCCATGAAATTTAATACCAAAAATATTTAACTAAAATGGTGTTTATGTATTCTTTTTCTATACTGGTGGTTTTGGTCTACTAATTCTAGATAAATGATTTTAGCATTTTATAAGTGTATTTGTGGTTAGGTAGGCCTTCTACTATTCATCTAGATGCCATCATATGATGTTAAATATTGTTTTTTGTTTTCACTGTTATTGAAACTTAGACTTCCTATTAATAACAATAAAGTAGATTTATCAATTTAGCCCAATGCTGAGTAGTATAAGTTTTGATTAGAGTAGGTATTTTGTTAACATTGGTTTCCCATTTATAAAACCAGTCATTGTTTACAATACTACAACACATATCATTGAATTAGAGACTGGCAAATATATATGTACGTACATGTATATGTATATATATATTTCTCTCCCAGGTAGTCAGATCTGTCATATATTCTTATATATACAAGCTTGATTTCTGTGAGCTTTTAATTTTAAATATTCCTGACATTTCTAATAATCTATCATTTGAATTCCATAAGATTTTATTGGCCATTCAGCCCATTTCTTTTATTTTGAAATACAATCCATCAGCCACAGTACAAATGTACAGTTGAAGATGACAAACTGAAATTATGAGTACCCGCTTACTAGGATCATAAAGAGGCATGTTTAAGGTAGTACCATAAATTCAGCAGTATCAAATTTTAAAATTCACAGACTCTTTGTCTAGGAGTTCCATTTTAAGAATGTATCCTACACGTATATACAAATATGAAATGGCATGCATAGGGACATGTTCTGTAGCCATGTTTATGAAAGTCAAAGATTGGAAATAGCCTAAATGCCCATTAGGAGGACATATTAGTTAGGTATATTGCAAAACATCCTTTCAACAGACTATTATTCAGACACTAACATGAATGACTTAGCTTTATGTGTACTGAATCAAACAATTTCCAAAGCATATTAAATGAAAAATTTAAGGCACAGAATATAGAATGATAACAGTAAAATAAATACTACAAACCCCAACACATACATTCCTAAATAGACCTAAAACATCTCTTAAAGAATACCTCAGAAATTGGGAGAAATGATTGCTTCTAAGGAGGGAAGTGGGTGAATTTTATAACATGCCCTAAAATTACTTCTTCATAAATTATTTTTTAATTACATCACATGGTACCAAGCAAGAGCTCAATAAAAATTTGTTGATTGATTTTTTTAAGTGTCTGTGGTGGATATGAAATGCTCCATATGTTTCCATAGTACACACTTATTATTCAGAAGGGCTATCTGTTTTATTTATTGACTTGAATCCATGAATAGACTAACTAAATAGACCTGAGCATCTGATTCATAATCCTGTCATCTACATTTTAAATAATTTATTCTGGTTGTATTTCTTGTTTTGATACTGAGCACCACAGAGTTAGTAGGTAGTTATTATTTAGGATGCAAAATAAAGCTATTCATCAAAAAATTATCTTCAAAGGTTGAGAACTCACTAATACTTCCATTTCCTGCTTGTTCAAGATCCATGCTTTGTAACCTTTCATCGGGTGTGAAAGACAACTGACTGCCTTCCAGGGAGAAAGTGGCCAACAAATAACAAGGTTTTTTATAATACTTTATTTATTGAATAGGTCTCCCTGTAAATATTATCTTAATACTGTTCAGCAAGACCTATTCTGGGGCTAGCAGTTATCTTGAAAGAAAATCAGTCTGTTTCAAAGTCAAAATGGATGATCTTCAAGAGTTTTATGGAAACTCGGTAAAATCCTAAGTTTGTAACAGTCTTCCACTCTTGAAAGTGCTTCTCTTGTTTGATAGTTTCTGGAGCTGCATTCTCTGAAGGAAAACCAAGAAGCTTGTATTGATTGACCTCAATACAGATACTTTAGGAATTTGATAGTCCCAAATTCACCTCCATATGTCCCCCTTAAATAAAGGCAAATTTGAAAATAAAATCCCCGGAATTCCCTGACTATATGGTAATTCTCAAAATAATATGAAGGTTATCTCTAATCAGATACAATGTATGTCAAATACCTACTATAGTGCCTGCTGAGCTAGACTGATTTCAACGAATTTGAATTACACTTGCATATTTGTCTGGCTAGAATTTTCTAGTTAACAGGTTTTGTTTTAAACTTGTGTAATAGAACAATAGAGCTCAAGTAGCCACATTTAATAATGTTTAAACCAAAAATGAGTTCAAACCAGGGAATGCACAGAAAAACTACAGTATCTTTGTCACCACATTTTCTAACATAAAATGTAAGGTTCTTAGAATACTGTGTGAGGAGTTACAAAGAAATTTTGAAAATCCCTTTTGATATACTCTTGAGCATGTGCAGTTATATCCCTTTATGTTTCTGGCCTCAAGGAAGAAGACTAAAACCATGTCACATACCAAGCTTTTCAAAGCAGGCTCACTGTAGACAGGACACTCGGGGAAATGCATTTATATAAAAACATGTTAACTTAGGATTGAATTAATAAATTAACAGCTTCCAAAAGATTTATGCACAAAACTGTTGATTGTTCCATTAGCTATAAAAAATTTAAAGTACCAAAGGACTAAACAATGGGAGATTATATTATGATATATCCATAAAACCATAACGTGTACACTAATTAAAAATAATGTGTATGACATTGTCAAATAGGGCAACTTCTGAAGTTTAAATGAAAAAAATTTAAATGAAGAAAAAAGCAACTGTCACATTAATAAATATAATTTGACTCAACTATACTTAAAAATCTATGTAGAGACCAAAAAAAGGAAGAAAAAAACTAAAATTGTTACCAGTGAGTAATACCAGTCACCACTTTTTCTTCCTCTTCACAACTAGGAGTACTTTCCAATACTTCGACAGTTTGTATACTGATTTTATAATTAGAAAGTAATTTAACTCTAAGTTACATCTCGTGATAGGTATTCCGATCCGAACAACCTTGGACAACTCGACAACAGTTCAATATGCAGGTCTTCTTCATCAGCTGACAATGAAGACCAAGAGCACTGTCCGTGATATTGATCCTCAGAACGACCTCACTTTTCTTAGGATCAGATCAAAGAAACATGAAATCATGGTAGCTCCAGGTAAATTGGCATTTCATTTCTAGTTAAAGAATCTTTCTACTTTACTAGATAAAAGCCTTATTTGAAAGACTGGGGAGTATAGATTTTAGTATACATTCTGAAACATGGTATTCTTCTATTACAAAATGACATTTGAATCTGAAAACCCCTATCCTAAAAACTGTATCAAATGAGCAATTAATTTGACTTTTGAACAAGCTGAACCTTACCCACTTGAATTTTTTATTAGTAATCAAAAATTTAGAAGATGCAGGTCTCATTCTCAGTACACTTAGCACACAGGTTCTCTGGAGAGTGGGAGAAGGGTCCTTTGTCCTGGGATAAAGTGGGGGGTGGGTCCATGGCCTGCAGGATCTGAAACTCTCCCTGTGGAGAATCACATCCACCTGGTCTACCGGAAGACAGCAGCCACAGAAACACTTCTTTCCCTGAAGAAATTACATTCACAGTGTTTCTAAATGGCTATAAAATGGGACCTGTGTTCCTAAATCTAGTCTAGAACAAACTTCTATATAACACATCTATCAACTCAGAATTGCCTATCAACTGAAGCTTTTTTTTTAATACCTCTTACCTTGGCTACACATTAAAATTACTTGGAGGGTTTTTTTTAAAAAAAATTTGTGCGTAGGACTCCACCCCAGGCCAATGAAATCAGAATCACTGGGGCTAGGCCCTGGAAAATGGGTATTTTCTAAAGACTCAACAAGTGACTCTGATATGCAACCAGGGTAGGAAACCATTAGTCTACACAGGGTCTGTATGAGGTTTTGAAAAGAAAAGCAGACTATCTGAAGTATTCATTGTTAAATTTAATTGTTAGGGTGAATTAATTCTGTTCATGTCTCTCCACAGATAAGGAGTATCTTCTGATTGTTATTCAGAATCCGTGTGAATAGACCTTTTCTGGCCAAGACATCCTAGTGACACTGGGTTGGAAACACTTTGCTCTTTAATAATTATTAAAATTGCATGCCAATCTAACTGATCTTTGGATATCCTTCTCTATTTTTGCGTTTAAGCTCTTTTGTGTGTCTCATTTAGTCCCTTTTGATTGTGTGGTGAAGTTGTGCTTTAGCTGTGTAATAAGCACATTCTGATATGTGTGTCTCTATTTTTTAAATATAAAACTAAAGGATTTTATAAAAAAAAAGACAGCTCTCCTTGTGATGGTGCTTTTAGTCTAGAGGTTGCTGTCATGAAGTATACGAGTGTGATTTCTTCAATAACACCAAGGTGATTTAGTGGAGCAATAGAAAGTATAGAAAGTCCCAACACCCAAAGAGCATTCAATGTTTTCCAAGGTTAGCTAAGGACAGTGTGAAGTCAGAAGGGCAGTTCTCAACCGGAGTCAACAGCACCACAGCTAAGTGCCTGCTCCTGCGGTCCTGCACTCCAGCACACCATCTGGAGGGGACCAAGTGCAGGTCTTGGGCAGGGCTTTATGCATAAAAGGCTGGGTAGGTATTGCTGGTGGGGGTGGGGATATTTTTACTAGAAATTTATTCAGAAAATCATGAAAATAATATAACAAATATAATCAACTTCCAGGTACCCCAAACTCACATAGCATAGATGGTAATATTTTGCCACATTTGCTATAGACCTTTTTTTTTAACTGAACTTTTTATTTTGAGTAACTGAAGATTCATTCATGCGAAGTTGTAAGAAGCAGCATAGCAATCCTGGGTACCTTTACCCACTTTCCTACTGGCAACAGCTCCCAAACTCCTAGTGTAGTATCACAACCAGGAAACTGACACTGACTCAGTTGAGACGCAGAAACATCTCCAACCCTGGTGAGACCCTGGCACCCCACTCTAACCTTTAGATCCTCAAAACCACTGATCTGTCCTCCATATATTTATATATTTAGAGACAGGGTCTCGCTCTGTCACACAAGCTAGAGTGCTATAGTGCTATTATAGTTCACTGTAACCTTGAATGTGAGCTCAAGCAATCCTCTCGCTTCAGCCTCCTGAGTAGCTAAAGGTGTGAGCCACCACGCCCAGTTAGTTTTTTTAAAAAAATTTTTGGTAGAGATGGGATCTTGCTATGTTGCCCAGACTGTCCTCAAACTCCTGGCCTCAACTGATCCTCCTGCCTCGGTCTCCTAAAACTCTGAGAGTACAGGCATGAGCTACCACATCTGACCCATCTCTATAATTTTGGTTATATGAAAAATTTTATGCAAATGGAATAATGCAGTATGTAACCTTTTCGGATTGGCTTTTTCACTCAGCATAACTTTCTTGAGATTCATCTAAAATATAAGGAATGACAGATTTCATTCAATCGCAGAAGTGCATTACATTAAGTACATTAGCTGAAACCTGCTCCTCCTCTTTGTGCCTCTGTCCTCCTTGCCCGCAGGATTCTTGTGAGGATGCACAAAGTCACCCTACCTGTGGGTTCCACAGGCACTTTCACCTAAGCTCCTGCTACAACTCCACAACAAGCCAAGGGTGGGGAATCGTGCTGGTAAGTTTCCTAGTCCAACCACACTCATGGCCCCAACTTGCATCCTGTGAGGCTACCATGACCAACCCATCTGGATGGAGCTGCAGATAAAAAGAAAGGGCTGCAGCAAATCCCTACTGTTAAAGGGCTTCACTCTCCCAAGTGTCAATGGGAGAGGAGACAGGTCATGGAGGGAACTTATCCAAGGCTTAGAGTGACAGTGGCGGCTGAAGCCAAACCTGTGCACACAGCAGATGTCTGAGCCCGGTGCATAACCCCGTACTCCTGGGAGAGAGGCCTGCAATAAGTATATTGTGCAAATGCTCTCCGGGTAATTGCCACACAGTGCCAGGCTGAGACCTGCTCAGCAGGTGAAGGGTGTGGATGGAGTCCTGGATTCCTCAATCCCTAGCCTCATCTGTAAAATGGGGTGACAAGAGACCCTACCCAAGGTTTGCTTGTGAGAAGCAGTTGAGCTAGTGCAAATAAAGTGCCTGGCACAAAATGAGTAGTCAGCAAATGTTAGCTTCTACTGGTATTCCTTCTGTCACTCAAAAATGGCTCTCACTCCCAGACACAGAAAGGAGCTCCAGCGATATCCTGAGGTCCCTCACTTCCATAAGTCAGCCAAATTGCCAGGAGGATGTTAACTGTCTCTGGAGAGAGCAGAACAGATGAAATGAGCCTGAAGTGTAATAGGAGTGAGTACTCCTTAACCTGTGGGATGAGTAAACACAGAAGAAAGGGATTGGAGGGTGGAGAACCCACGCTATAGCGCACAGCTGACTTTTGAGGCATTTCCCTACGCTTTTTATTTTTAAAGACTTCAAACTACAGAAGATTAGAAAGAATCACACAATGAACACACAAATCGGCTTCACTCACTCACCAACTGTTAATGTTTTATCACATCTGTTCCATCTGTCTCTGTAAATACACACTTTATGTATAAATAGATAAACACACATACCATATAAAAGTTGCAGAAACCATAATAGCAGATACTTCCCCCCAGTAAGAATATCCTCTTACATAACCACAACACCATTTTCATACTTAAGAAATTTAAATGGGGACCAAACTGAGGCTCAAACTTTAACTGTACAATGACCATTTGTATACCTAATCCTGAATTGTACCCCACATCTGCAAAATAAAAATAAATCATTATTTTTTAAAAAAAGAAATTTAATATGGATACAATAACATCATCTAATATGCATATGTAAATTTCCCTAGTGGTCCCAATAGAGTCCTTTATAGGAGATTTTTTCCTAAAACCCAGGAGCCCGTCAAGGGCTCCACATTGCATTTGGTTGTCATGTGTCCTTAGTTTTTAGTTGTTTTTAGAAACCCTTATTTTCCACTTCGCTAACTCTAGGTGATATCAAATTTGCATTTGCTCTCCCTAGAGGCTCCAGTACTACCTGTCCCCCTCCGTGTCCCTTGAGCCCCTTCTGATTGGACCCAGACACAGTCTGTAACAGGAAATTTAGATGAAAAGCAGGTCTCATCACAGGTAAATACTTCCCCTTCATTCCAACCTCTTCCTTCAGCCCAGTAAAGTCCGGGTACAATGATATGCTTTTATCCCTGGACAAGCTTAGCATCTGCTCACAGTTTCCAACATAAACAAGATCTTACTAGAATTCTAATGGCAAGGAAATATATTAAGGAAGGGAAGTCCATTCTATTTAGAGTCCCAGATTTTCAGAGCCGAAGAGAATCACTGAGATAATTGATTCTACACCTTGGTTTTATGGGTGAGGATTTCACCTGAGCCTGGTGTCAGGTATCTTTAAGGCATCAGGTATGTGAGCTTGTATTGGACTGATCAGATCTACAGAATTGGCATTTATGACCTTTTCAGGGGTTCATGTCTTGTGAGATCCCTCTTAAAATGTTTTTAGGAGGTACTGAATAGCTCATTGTTTTAAAGTGTACCAGAGGCAACATTTGATTTCGATACCTAAATCTGTCTTCTCCCCAGAGCTCCCCAGCCCACCCAGAGCTCATCAGCAGATGCATGACTGAATGGTAAAGCCACTTCCTTCCTTCTTGCCCAGCCAGAAATTTCAAGCCCCATTTGAGGCACAGCAGTGTGAAATTTCTGGCAGGTGCAGACGGCACTGCCTCAAGTGCCAGGACTCTACATGGCCTCTTCTGGGAGAAAAGCCCCTCCATCCTACTGGGTAGTCCTGCCTGCACCTTTGCATCCAGAGGAAACTGATCCTTTGTCAGGGCAGAGACTGGTAGAAAACGGAAGAACTCACCAGAGTCAGTTATAATGGAGGAGGATATGTTCTTGGGGAATCTGCACCACTCTGCTCTGCCTTTTGGCAAACAGACCTTCGCATTCCCTCTAGGATTCATAATGGCATAGTTAATTGCCTATATTTAAAAGATGGCTGAACCTAGAGACTAAAGATCCACACCCACCCAAAAACACTAGTAAAGCTTTCATTTTCTATGAGAAGTAGAAGCCTGGACTCATGTAGTCCCCCCTCTTAGCTCAATTGGCCATATATTTTACCTGAACAATAGGAGAGCTATTTGCAGAGTCTCTGGAGGAACATATTCCAACCATAAATATTAATGATAATGAACCTGGAAAGGCCAGCTTAATAAAATAGCTGAAAATGCATTTACACATCATTAGCATTACGAGTTCTCAAATCTTCGTCTCTGAACAACAGGACCATCCTAGTAGAAGAGAGTGGGAACCCGCCCTGATCTCTCAATGAGGACCTTCTGCAGACCCCTTATTAGTACATTCTGACTTTTGGACTAGATCACCTATTCTCTCCTCAACCCAAAGTTACCATAGACTGAGATTTAGGGTTTCTCTCTCATTGATCTTTGAAAAAATTACAATTATCCTTGATATGTGTTTGATATGGGGCAAAATATCTTTACTCCTAAGACATTAGAAAATAATGTAATGTAAAGAAATCATCAAGAAAGCAGAGAGACAGCCCACAGAATGGGAAAAAATATTTGCCAATTGTATATCTGACAAAGGCCTAACGTATAGGATCTATGAGGGACACATATGTGCCGAAAGGAAAAAAACAAACAACCCCATTAAAAAGGAGGCAAAAGACATGAATAGACACTTCTCAAAAGAAGATATATGGGCAGCTAACAGACACATGAAAAAGTGCTCAAATTCACTAATCATCAGAGAAATGTAAATCAAAACCACATTGAGATACCACCTAACCCCAGTAAGAATAGCCATCATTAATAAAACAAACAACAGCAGAGCTGGAGAGGATGTGGAGAAAAAGGAACACTTCTACGCTGCTGGTGGGAATGCAAACTAGAGCAACCTCTTTGGAAAACATTGTGGTGATTTCTAAAAGAACTAGAAATTGACCTTCCATATGACCCAGCAATCCCCATATTGGGAATATACCCACAAGAACTAAAATCATTCTGCAAAAAAGATACCTGCACATGCATGTTTATTGCGGCCTATTCACAATAACAAAAACATGGAAGTAGCTGTGCTGCCCATTGAAAATGGACTGGATTAAAAAAATGTGGTACATATACACAATGGGATATTATACAGTCATAAAGAAGGACAAACATATAGACTTCGCAGCAACTTGGATGGATTTAGAGACTATCATACTCAGTGATCTATCACAGAAACAAAGAACAGAGCACCACATATTCTCACTCATA